TAATACATATTTTCTAATTTCATTAGAATAAATACGTGTTAAAAAGTATTTAAAGTTATACAAAAGAAACTTAAATAGTTAAAAGATAATATTTTATTACTTAAAGGTTTGTTTGACTCCGCATTAAACATGACTAAAATTAGTTTTATTGTATTTAAAATAATCTGAATCACGTTTTTTTTATTCGTTCCTGAGTATTCATCGCCGATAGCAAATCCGAATCACGTTTGACTATTATTAAAATTGATTACAGAATGTGAAATTCACTTAAAAATAACTATTAATAATATTTATATCAAACAAAATCAATTTTAAAGTTTAATCTACTTAGATTTATAATTACATACTCAAAATCAATTTTTATAATAAATTTTTAAATAATATTTAATATAAAAATCAAATCCATATCTTTTATCATCCAAATAAAAATGACATTATTTTTACCTAAAATCAATTATTTCAAGATATATCTAAACACACATTTTGTATCTTAAGATGGTTACTCACCTTTGAGTTGACCATTCTCCTCAAGCCATTTGGACATCGTTGGATCATGTTGGAAAAATAACTTCGGCTGCCTACGGATCTCAACCATTGATTTTAGGACTGTCTGTCAACTTTTAAAATTTTCCCATGACACAAACACAACAAGCGACATCCCAGTTTGTCTTTGGCTCACTTTTCATGAACCCAGCCCACCATCCATTCAAATTAGAACTATTTTCACAAAATTTTAACCATCCAAAATTAGAACTAGTGTGAGACCCTTTTTCTCTTTTCCTTTTTCTCTCCCCGACACTCCTCTCTCACCCATTCTCTTCCCACTCTTTCTTTCTTACTCACTTGGCTGATTCTTCTCTTCCCTGGACTGAAGGTGGTGATTCAAGTTAGGTAGAGCTAGCTGATCTGTGTGGAGATTTCTTCCCTCAAGTTTCTTCTTCATCTTCTATTCTCGTTCTTTTCCCGAAGCTCGGAACCTTCTACCAAGGTAAGGGAAGTTAGTTTCTTCGTTGTTTTTGGATGTCATTTAGTTCAAGTAACTCAATAGTTGTTGAAGAAATTGATTTTTGGCTGTGATTGAAGGAAGTTTTCGTTTTTGGGTTTCCGGGGTTGGGTGAAAATCTTGGGGATTTCACTTGTTGACGGTTGCATGTTGGAAATGAAGTGTTGGTCTTAATACTTGATGAAAATGCTGGCTTTTGGATGGTTTGCATGTTGGTTTCCTGGTGTTTTTCGCAGGTTTTGATGAAATTTGTTCCTGTTTGAATTTACGCCGGGCCCAGTTCTTCGCGCGGGACGCTATTTGAAAATGGGGAATCACTGGGTGAATAGCGCCGGGCGTGGGGAGAAGCGCGCCGGGCGCTATAGACCTCTGTAGGTCTTTGGTTGAGAATTGCGCCGGGCGCGCTTTATTGTGCCGGGCGTGAGTTTGATTTTCAGAATTTGACTTTATAGTCTTCATGAAAGTTGTAGCCTTGGATGTTATCTTTCCAATGGCTCTGGAATCACTCAAAAAGGAGTGTTAGAACTCTAGATATGGCTGTTTTAGTGAAGAGGGGTCGAGCTGCTAACTTTGTTTATAGCTGTTGCGGTTTTTATCATTTTTAACATGGTAGATGAAGGAATTAGGACTTGGTGTTTTCATGAGAGTTGTAGGAAATCTTCTTATCTTTCATATGAGATAAGGATGAGTATGGTAGGAGTAGTATAACTCCTGATGCGCTCTTTTCTGTGAAGGTTGCCATTTCACATTTAGTGATTGAGTTAAGTTGAAAGTTGTTTTAGGTGCTTAGGTTGATTGGTGTTGTTTGTGTGGGTAATTTGACAAGATAGATGAGTTGTAAACAAGGTGGATGAGCCATATTATGTGTAGAATATGTTGTATGTTGTATATGCTGCTAATGATGTAATGCCACGCTGTAATAGATATATATATTGTCGTGCTGAGCTGGGCTGTCATGAATGATTTTCATGTTGAATTAAAATATTGTTGTATTATAGATTGTTGAGCTGAGCTGTGAGTAGTAAGCTGTGTTGTATACTACCTAGCTGTGCTGGATGGTGATATTGATGTGCTGCGCTGAGCGCGACCCTTGTCGTGCTAGGCGTGAGACTCCTTGGGAGTCTCTGCCTTGTGGGCGCTGGGCGCAATTGGTATTGCGCCAGGCGCAAGTGAGCCTTGGGCTCTCTGGCTGGGTCCCGCCGGGCTCGGGCATGCTTGCGTCGGGCGCGGTGGCCCCTGGTGCCCTTTGGTTGAACTGCGCTGGGCGCAACTGTGAGTGCGCCGGGCGCATAGATAATAATTCATTATATGCTGAGTTGAATTGAAATGGACGAATATGATGTGATGATTAGTAGATGATCCTGCTGCATATGTTGAGTTGTATCAGTTGTATATTGTTGTAAGTTGATATGTTGAGTTGTATCAGTTGTATATTGTTGTAAGTTGATATGTTGAGCTGTACCGTTGTGTTGTACTATGTGTTGATATTGGATGATGTAGGCCGAAAGGCTGAGGTGTTGTAGGCTGAAAGGCTGAGGTGTTGTAGCCGAAAAGCTGAGGTGTTGTAGGCCGAAAGGCTGAGGTGTTGTAGGCTGAAAGGCTGAGGTGTTGTAGGCCGAAAGGCTGAGGTGATGTAGGCCGAAAGGCTGAGTTGTTGTAGGAGATCTCCGAGTTGATATGCGTGACGACGCATTGTGTGCTTATTGCTGATTTTGCTGTAAAATCGATGAGTTGTATGCTGATGATGTGAGATGTGTGCTGTTATGGCTGAATGTTGTGGTATTTTAAACTGATTTTGTTAAACTGATTGACGTGTTGATTTGATGTGCTGATAGGGGTAGCTATTTACTATTCATATATTTATATATATGTATGTTATTTCTTTTCACTAGCTTACCCTTTGTTGTTTCCATGTGGTTTGGACTACGATGATCATACTATGTATGAGAGCAGAACATGGTTAGACTGGTGATAGTGGCAAGTCTACAGCTGGCAAAGGGAGGAGTCTTGTTTGGCGGATGTTTGTTTGTTGGGCCACTATCTGGCTACTTTGGTTGTATTTCGTTTGTACACTCTAACGCTAGTCGGATCGGAACATTGTATATATTTATATTCTAGATCCTATATTTATATACTCGTTCTATTCTATCTAGGGTTTCCGGTGTGCTGTGATTGTGAGTGTAGTGACCAGCCGGGTCGTTACAACTAGTAAACCTCACCATTATTTTTCCCATAGCCTTGAGAACAATGCTAAATGCGAGAGCATTGGTAATGTTAGGATAGATTAAAGGAAAAAAAATTAAATGGTTCAAATATACATTAGATGAACGTAGAATATTAAGATATTATTATATTTAATTTTATCTAAAATAAGATGACGATACTCATAAAATCATTTTAGTAGTACTTGATTATAAAATTGTATTCTTCTTAAACTGTAAGGCTTCAAAATGTCTATTTTTATATTCTTTATAACTTTTAATTATAAATTTTTACGAGCGGTGATAAAAAAGTTATTTTGCTTACTATATATCAATACGTCAAAAAATATTATTATAACATATGAAATTAAAAGTTCATATTAATAAAATATACAAAATTTAAATTAGTATTCACTTTATTCTATTAAAACTTGGAACAATAAGCTAAAAATTGAAGAAGCTTTCAAGAAAAGACGAGATATACATATTATTTGATATTTTACTATTTTGTAATTTATCATCATACTTAGTCAACATATTATGTCCAATCGATTCAATACATATTTATATAGCCGTTAATTTTGACCATAAAAGATAGTTTTTTAATAGAATTGATTTTTGTATATTATTTTTATTTAAATTTAATTTTCCGGTTAATGAAATTAAACTGTTTGACTAATTATAATTGCTAAAAAAATTAAGTTATGATGGTTACAGAAATTAAAATCATTTTTCTCATATGGAAATTCATTTTTAGATAAGTAATCATTTATGATGACCAAATGATTATTTTGCCTATATTTTTTTAAAATGTTCACTCAAATATACAAGAAATGTGACGTGTGGAAACGCGTTTGTTCAGTCTCCATCAAACCAAGATGTAAAGTTGTTAAAGTATGTTGACTTATGGAGGATTTTCCCATTACGTATAGCTTTGAAATAAATTAGATAACAAATAAACAATAATATATTCTACACAACATTAGCCAAATAAAATAAGGTGAAATTGTATATTTTTTTTATAATTATATAAATAATACAAAGTATTTGCCAACTTCACAGATAATTGATTTTAGTTGAGAATTTGTATGATTATCTTTACTAAAATCTTCTTACTTAATATTTATCTTTTCATTCATAAAACTCAAATTTAATACTTTACTAATTTAGTATCATTCCAATTAGTTGATCTATTTACACTAACATGATATTTAAAGATAAAACATTAAAAAAATATATGAGTTTACAAAATTTGGAGAAATAAAGTGTAGAAGGTACACAAATCTTTCACATGTTTTTTTTTTCAAATTTATTTTTAAATATTATATTGATAAATATCATGCTATTCAAATGATAATAAATTATGTTAAAATTAAAATTTAATGATCAATAGTTAATTAGAAAACTAAAATTTTATAATTTTAAAATTAGAGATCAAAATATCTATAAAAAAAGAAGATTATATATTAATCTTTAAATATTTGAAAATTTTTAATTTTAGTCTATAAACAATTATTTTTCTTAACATTTTGGTTCTAAAAATGAAATAACTTTTTCGCAAAGAAAATTTTAGAAATTAAAATTAAAAAAATTTGTTTTAAGTTTAAAAATTAATTTATTAAAATTTATGAGAAAAACATATTTAATCAGAAAGAAAAATTAAGGAACAAGAATGCATGTCAGAAAAAGAAAAAAAAAGTAAAAGGAAAAAAAGAATGTAATTTAGCGAAAAAAACTGAATCCGGAAATAAAGGTGAAAGAAATAATATCCGCGTCCCTTTGAAGTTGACACGCGCATAGAAGAACAATAAGCTTCAAACACACACAACCACATCGTCATATTCATCGTCCAAACACTCTCCGACACTTCAACATCTCGTGTTCTTCCTCTAGAAACCTCTTCCGCACCACCGTGGAATTTTCCTGCTCTTGTAACACAAAACACACTCTCTGCTTCTGATATAATTTACGCTTGTCCTTGTCATCGTGCTTCTTCAAGATAGGGTTTGCACTTTTTAGTCACTACTATCCATGACCAGGTACATAAAGTACTGTGTTAGTTCTGATGTTCATCAATTATTACCGACTTTTTAACTAGTGTAAGTGAACTATGTGTTAGGGTGTTAAAGTTTGGTTCATTTCCTTTATATGTATTGCAATTGAACGAATATTGATTAATTTTTTGTGATTGTGTGTAGAAGGGTTAGTGATTGTTGAGTCAATGGAAGGTGTTGATCAAAGTAACATGAATCGAAATAGTTCTGCATTTGGTTCATCATCAGGAGCAAATCTCAGACCCTCAAATCGATTGAATGCTGTTGAGAATCAGAAACCCTATGGTATACCACCCTCACACCCCAATACCAATGTTTCACCTTCATCGCCTTATCCCCAATTTTTTGGCTCTCAATCCCAGTCCAATTCTGTTTCTCAGCGTTTAGGTTCTCCCAATTTGAGCCCTGCATCATCCCATGCTAGGTCTTTGTCTCAGCCCTCATTTTTCTCTCTGGATTCCTTGCCCCCTTTGAGTCCTTCCCCTTATAAAGAGCCCTTGGCAGCCACCTCCTTTTCTGACACAATTTCAACTGATGTTTCTGTGGAGGAAAGCTTGGGTACCTCTCATGCCCCTTCCTCTAACCGTGGCCATGCTCTTCAGCTTGGCCATTCTCTCCCCCCGCGTAAAGGGCATAGGCGCTCTAGCAGTGATTCCCCTTTAGGAATCTCTGATTATATTCAGTCTGTCCCCCAGTTGGTCCCCACCAGGGCTTGGAATGATCGTGAAAATTTGGCTTCTAGGGGAGGAAACTCTGGATTTGAGAAGCCGATTCAGTTGGTGTTAAAGGAACCATTTAAGGATATGGACCGTGTTGATGGCTTTAGTGGAGAACATATGGATGTGAGGAAAGAGGATGATTCACTGGATGATTTGTTTAGTGCATATATGAATTTGGACAATATTGATGGTCTGAATTTTTCTGGTGTGGAAGATAAGGATTTGGATAGCAGAACTAGTGGTTCTAAGACAGTTGAAAGCAGTGACAACGAAGTTGAGAGCCATGCAAATGGAAAGGCAACTGGTGCTCAAGGGGCTAGTTCAAGCTGTTCGGAAGAGAGGAGGGAAGGAGTGAAGAGGAGTTCTAATGGAGATATTGCACCTGGTTCTCGACACCGGAGAAGTTTCTCATTAGACAGCTCCATAGGAAATTTTTGTATTGGAGATGAGTCACCTAAGCTTCCTCCTTTGCAAAACCGAGTTGGTCAACACTCGCCTAGCAATTCCATAGATGGTAAGCCATCTGAAACAAGCATTGAGTTTGGAAATGGTGAATTCAGCTCTGAGGAGCTAAAGAAAATAAAGGAAAATGATAAGCTTGCTGAAATTGCCATGGCCGATCCTAAGCGTGCAAAAAGGTAATAATAGTCTTATCTTTGACTGTCTTTATGTCCCTTTTGGTTTTTGTGGGAAAACAACTAAGGCTGTAAAATATTTGTCTATCTAGGATTTTGGCTAATCGTCTATCTGCTGCTCGCTCAAAAGAGCGAAAGATGCGATACATTTCTGAATTGGAGCTTAAGGTCCAAACACTTCAGACAGAGACAACCACATTATCTACTCAGTTTACCAAATTACAGGTGGGTACTTTCTGAGTTGAGTCAATATTCCCTTTCCTTCAGTTTGTCAACTAAATATTATTGTGATGATTAATGTTTGCTACTATCATTCCTTTATTTTTTTTTTCTCCTTTTTTTTTGTGCTTTTCTGCAGATGGATAATTCAGAGCTTAAAAGTGAGAATAATGAGTACAAATTGAGGATTCAAGCCTTGGAACAGCAGTCCCAACTGAAAGATGGTATGGATATACATTTTTCTTCTACTTTGTATTAGCTAAAATCTGCTTTAGCTTATTCCACCCTGTAAACCCATGTTATTTTTTTACAGAAATAACTTGTATATATGATCAGGTTCAATGATGTGTAATTTTTATTTAGTCACGGATTTTATGTGTGATAACAATGTTTTACTTTTTGAATGTGTAAAGACAATTATTCACACCTGTGCTGGTTCTCTACATGTAAATGGCTGATGTCAACTAACTAAAACTCAAACATTTTCTATCCAATTGTGTTTGAGATCTCTGAACAGCTTTCAAATCAAGCTGTCTGGCATAGGAATTTGATTTCATCGTGACAAATGCTTGTTAATTTGTAACCCAAGTACATTTTGCTCTAGTACCACATTGTTTTTCTGAAGTTCTAGTCTGCATGTCATGGGCACTTTAAAACTGCATATGAAATGTTAGAATGTAGTTTTTCCTGCATAGGAAGTCTCACTCAAAACGTTCTTGATGCCAAAACAGAAAGAAAAAGGGAGATGAGGGAAATAGGTAGTAAAGGTTCGAATGTTCTTTTTCCTGTATATGCTAAAATACTGTAAGTGTATAACTCATTATATTGGATGTTTTGATACATAATGGAAAATAGTAAAAAAACTATACTAACCATTATTATTACCATACAACTTGTTATTTTTTCAGCTGCAGTGTTTTTAAATAGCTGCTATAGCTATTGCATTGCGGAATTCCTTTAATCTGTGATCACTATAGAGGCTTCTGTGATGTCATGTTTGTAGCATGTTTCCTGCATCCTCTCAACATCTCGGCTGAGTTAATATTATGTTGATTTTTATGCATATTATTTTTATCTGCATACAACTTATGTTTTTGTGCTTATATAATTGATATATATTATATATTTTAACTGCTATGCAGCTTCCACTATTTGACCGATACACTACGCGCTTTATAATATAGCAGATTATTGGCTTTCTGCCATTTTCTGCAATCCGCAATTGATAACACTGATCAGCTGTGACTTTTTAACTATTTGTTTAATTTTTAGCAGCTTCAACTCGTAACTTTGAGTATATATCTCCATTGCATTGTCCTCTCCCTTCATCAAATGCACTGTACTGTCTTGTTTTTATGCTGAAGATAAGTATTCAGCTGTGTAATCAATCATTTGTGTTCTTATTTTGACAGCTCTGAATGAGACATTGGATGCTGAAGTGAGGCGTTTAAGACGTACTGTTGCAGAACTTGGTGGAGAGTCCCTCCTCTCAAGTCGCATGGCTCAACAGCTTTCTATTAGCCAACAAATGTTCCAGTTACAGCACCAGCAGCACCCGGGCCAGATTAGACAAGTTCAACTGCACAATAGCCATTCACAGGAACAGACACAGACTCAGTCACAGCTCCACAATGGAAAAACTACTGCCTATTGATCACATTGATTGTACATAAGCATTCTACTGCCATGTATACTCGATGTTTGTGATAGATATGAACGAGAATAATATCTTGCATGACCAAGCTCAAGTGAAAAAGGACTCAATTCTAGACAACCCATTAACAAAAGAAAACTTCAAAAGATACAAGAAGTAAAAGGAGTCCATGTCAATGCAATTCTTACCCAGTAAGGTTGTTGTTTTACTTGTGCAAGGCCAAGAAATTTAGAATTGTTGATTTTATTACCTAGATTTCGAGTTATTATATGTAAATTTAATATGATCTGAGATTGATTTCATTAAGATTTATGATTGATTGTATTAGAATTTATTTTAATTTATTTATTTTAAAAATTTATTAACTCTATTAAGATGAATATCATTTACTATCATTAGGATTTGTTTCTTATTATTTGGATTTATTTTCTTACTTTTTTTTTTCTTTCATACCATGTTTCCCAATCAATTGGGGTTTTGAATTTGAATTGAGCGAGTTTTCTCTACTAGAGTGAAATGTAAGTTTGAATGAAATGAGTTTTCATTATTGCCATGTGATTAAGAAATATCAAGATGATTAGTTGAATTTGAATGAAATGAGTTTTCTCTAACTGTGAGAGTTTTATTATTATTATTATTATTATTATTATTATTATTATTTATTTATTTATTTTTAATGTTTTGAGATAAATGTTTAAAATATGACCTTATGAAGACACCTTGTAGAAATTTCATAGCATTTACCTCATCACCTGTTTTGATTTGAGTGTGGTATTTTTTCTAAGAAATTGGAAGTTATTTCCTAAACTTCAACTTTCCAAATTAATTCTCTGGCTGTACGTGTGGAATATTTATTTTTAGAAAAGACAATTTATTTCAGTAATTTTTACGTGTCGAAATAAATTTGTTTTTGATTATTTGCTGGTGCTTTTCTTTGCGGACAGCCAAAAAAGAAACATTTCAAGTTGATTGTGGTTCTTTTTGTTTTTGTATGATCATACAAGTTTGCATATATAAGCCTATTAATTGTTATTTTTTTTCTTCCTCAAAGTTTTACCCATGTATACTTGGAATGATATTCTTTTTATCTTAGAGTCTTTGAATACAAGTTTAGGAATATTTTTGATATTTTTTTATTATTAAAAAAGATTTTTTTTAGTAGAGAAATTTTCAAAAAAATACTTTTAACTTGTATCTAGACAACATTTTAATCAATCTTGTAACCTCTTCGTTGGACAACAATCGATCATAGTATATTACATACCGACCTTAGTAATATTTTCTTTACAAAATTTCTACCCTAGTTGGCCTAAAAAATGCTAAGAACATACTAAAAAGTCTGTTGTGCCAAGATGAAAGTTTTAGTACAAAATTGATTGAGAGTGAGAGATAGAATCAAAAAACACTCAAGAAAACAGGATTTAGTTTTTTCAGTAATAACATATAAACTATTTTTTCTTTTCCTATTTATAACCAACTTAATTAAAAATTCTGTTAAGTTTGTTTTGAAGCAATGACAAGAAGGAAAAAATTACAACCCCCATCACAAGTTTCTCTTAACACTAGTTATTAGACTAACTAACAACAATTCTCCACCTTAGTCTACTAACATAGTAAAAAAATAAAACACTTTTAGTCTCCCAACATTCAAGTTTAAGTAGTGGAAAAACTTTGTATTGGGTAGAGGCTTGGTGATCATATAAGCTGGATTGTGATCAGTAGAGATCTTCAACACTTTCATTAATCCTTTATCAATGGCCTACCTGATAAAATGCAACTTAATATCGATGTATTTTGTCCTCTCATGATGGACTGAGTTTTTAGACAATTGAATAACACGTTGGCTATCACAAAACATTGTAGTTGGTTCTAAATCTTCAATTCCTTTGCAATGCCTTCTAGCCAAATTGACTCTTTTACTGTCTTAGTTAAGACAATATTTTCTGCCTTAGTGGTTGACAATGCAATTACCTTTTGTAAGGTTGCTTTCCAACTTACTATAGTGCCAAACACAATGAATACAAAACTAGTGATTGACTTTTTGGTATCAAGGCAACCAACATAATCAGAATCTACAAAAATCCTTCTATTGCAAACTCACTTGTCCCCTTCTTTGTTCCACCATAGACTAACATCCTTCCCATTAATCCCTTGATATATCTTAGGATCCATTTCACTACTTGCCAGTGAGGTTTTCTAGGATTTGCTATGTACCTACTAATAAGGCTAACTACATAAGCTATGTTTAGTCGAGTGTAGACCATAACATACATTAGAGAACCAACAACACTAGCATAGGGAATGCTTGCCATATAAGTTTCTTCTTCATGAGTCTTAGGGGCTTGATTGCACACAGTTTAAATTGTTGTGATATAGGAGTGGTCACAAACTTGTAGTTTGACATACCAAACATGTTAAGAATTTTTCTTAAGTATGAGGCTTGAGAGATAAGCAATTGTTTATTCTATCTGTTTCTGCTTATCTCCACTCTTAGAATTTTCTTGCCTAGCCTCAGGTTCTTCATCTCAAATTCCTTACTAAGTTTTGACTTTACTTTTGCTATCTCAACCTTGTTGTTGCTTACTAGTAAAATGTCATAAACATAAAAGAATAATACAACAAATAACCCTTGCTTAAGGAATTTGAAATACACACAATTATCATAGTGACTTTCAATGAATTTAACATGTTCCATAAATTCATCAAACCTCCTATTCCATTGTTTGGGAGACTGTTTCAAGCCATAGAGAGACTTTGTTAGCTTGCATACATAGTCCACCTTTCCTTTGACTTCAAATCCCTCAGGTTGACTCATTAGAATTTCTTCATCCAAATATCCATATAAGAAAGCTGTTTTTACATCCATTTGCTCTAGTTCAAGGTCAAGTTGAGCTACCATTGATAGAATCAATATGATGGATCTATGTTTAACAACTGGAAATAATACCTCATTGAAATCTATCCCCTTCTTCTGTGTAAAGCCCCTTGCTACTAGCCTTGCCTTGAACCTCTCTGGTTCAATTCTTGGAATCCTTTCCTTCTTTTTGAACAACCATTTGCAACTCACCACCCTTGCTCTAGGGGGTTTCTTTACTAGTTTCCTGGTTTGATTTTCATGTAGGGACTTCATTTCCTCCCTCATTGCATTTAGCCACTTCTTACTCTCTTTGCTTGTCATAACAACTCTTACTGTCTTAGGATCATCTTCCATTACCTTAGTTATAGTGATAGGGCAAATGCAATTAGATCAACATAGCCATATCTTCGTGGAGGTTTGATTTCCCTCCTTGTCCTATCCCTAAGCAACATATAGGTGTCTTCTTGTATCCTTGCTCAAGACACGACAACTTATAGCCTTTTACTCCTTTTGGATACCCTATAAAACAACATTTTAATGCTTTAGTGATGGAAACTTGCTTTGGAACTGGATTGACGTTGATTCCTCTTCAAGTTTCTCCCTAGACCTTTGACTCCTTGATTCTTCTCAAGCTTTTCCAAAGCTTCAAATGGAGGAGTAGCTTCGGATTTCACAAGGTTTGGTGAAGAACACTCTTCAAGAGGCACCACTCCTTGGAAGAGATAAGTCACTTCAATCCTCACCACACTCTTGCTTGAGAGGATAAGAGAATTGGATGAATGTCAAAGAGGTTGGAGACTTTTAGAAGAGAGAATTTCTGAACAATTTTGGAATTCACTCAATATATGATCAAAAAGTGATTACAATGGTAAGAAAAAATTTATATAGAGTAGGGAAACTTGTGGTACAAGCTAGGCTAACCATGGTTCAAGAGAACCATGGTTAGCTTAACTTGACCGGTCTAGTTGGTTTAGGAGGCTTGTGGAGCAAACTTCTAACTTAAAATCTTGGAAAGCAAGCTAAGTTAGAAGCTTATAGCACAAACTTCCCAAGTGTGCAAAGCAAGCCAAGTAATTTGGCCAAGAGAACTAGGCTAGGTGGCAAAGGCTTGAATTCCATATTTAATCCAATCCAAAATCTTGGAATTGGTTTAGTTAGGTTCACCAAATGATGGTGAGACCTAGCTAAATCAATTCCTTGGAAAATATGGAGCAAAACAAGCACAATATGTAAAATTTGGCCTAGGCCCAATTCTGGTTCAATTACTAGTTGCACCTACACACCTTGCTATTTGTCATCCCACTTCTATTACTGAAAATATGAAAATGAATGACCCTTAATACAAGGTCAAATAGAGCAAAAGTCTCCAAGTAACACACCCTAAAATCCTAAGGGATAACCTATAATAAAAGAAAGAAAGTGCCTCACAAATACAAAGGTAAAATACACCTATACAAGCAACTACTATGTATAAGTATCATACAATGTATATACAATGAAAACTAAGAGACTAATAAGAGGAATAATTCTCAATGCTCATGAAGAGCAAAGGTCTAATAAACACCTCTTATGTAGAAGTCTCCTCTAGCCTCCTAACCATGGACCTAGTTAAAGGTCCAATGACCTTCAAATATGTAGCCTTCTTGGATGGTCCTCCATCATCTAGGTTTCAATTTTTCTTGCTTGATGTGAGTAAAGACAAGGCAGCCAAATACTCTCAGGTGTTTCAGGCTGGGAGGGTGCCTTGAAAAAAATTCCTCAGGTGTCTTAAACTCCAATGTGGTTGAAGGGCATCTATTTATTAGATACACTGTAGTGGTGGTTGCCTCAGCCCAAAAATACCTTAGGCAGATTTGCACTTAACAACATACACCTCACCCTTTTTAGGATAGTTCTGTTGAACCTTTTAGCAAGTCCATTCTGTTGGGAAGTGCGTGCAATGGTCTTGTGCCTTGCTATACCATGCTCTTTATAGAAAGCATTGAAGGATTCATAATAGAATTCTAGACCATTATCAATCTTGAATCTCTTCACTTTCCTCCCAGCTGGTTTTCAAGAAGCACCTTCCAGTTTTTGAAATTTTCAAAAGTTTCATACTTTGTTTTTTGAATGTAGATCCAAAGTTTCCTTGAGTAGTCATCAACTATATTGAGAAAGTACCTTGCACCTGAGTGAGAAGGGGTCTTGGTAGGTCCCCACAAATCAGCATGGACATAGTCGAGGGTCCCCATTATTCTCGGTTGGCTAGTTCAAAATTGGGTCCTGCAAGCCTTGGCATAGACACAAAGCTCACAAAAGTTCAATTTTTGAACCTTGTCTCCACACAAAATTTCCTGCTTGCTCAGCTCCACCAATTCATTTTCACTCACATGTCCCAATCTCATGTGCCAAAGCTCAGATTTGGTGAGAGCCTTTTCTGTAGTGGCTGCAACTAAGCTAATCACAACCTCACCATCCATTGCATACAAACCATTTCTCATAAT